CCAATTTCGCTACTCGAGGACTATTACTAATAGTCCTCTAGTAGCATAGCCAATTAAAATGCAGGATTTGTATTAGTCCACTAGTTGGGTGATACTAATGACATTTATGTAAGAGCAAATATCAAATTATAATAATCAAGTGTCCTAATGAAGCGGGTGTTGTCTGTACCTCAACCTTAATTTTTATCTTCACTACACAACCGAACAAGGGTTTTAATTACATATAGGATTTTAATTGCCAAAGATATGTTTTAATTAACACAACAAGTTTACAACAAAGTGGATAAAAGATACATCAACTAATATCTTACATGCGCTAAAGCCTGACATGTAAACCCCAAAAACCTCTAATTTAGATAAATAGGGACTGTGTACCTCCGTCCAAATGCAGTGGCGCTTGCCTTTGGGGTTTTAAGGTTATTATACTATTTATACATCATTAGGACAAAAAATAAACCTGACCGTAGAATATCACAAATTTCTCAACCGTCTCGTTCTACAAACGTACTAACCATGCGCCTTCGCGTTCTACGCTCGCACCCAGTTCTCTGTTCCGTGTCGGCAAAATATTAATTATAATAGGTCAATACCGATTATCACAAATTACATTTTGTTTTTGTCCAGGTGTGGGATCCTAGCGCTGTGAACATAGCAGACTACATACGCATAAGGGCTGGACACGGCTTGACTCCTACCAAGGCTACACTGTTACTTGGAATGGTTCAGCAATTCAGCTCAAGTGTTATATCTGAAGGTATTTATGCAACGCGCTAAACAAATAGTTTCGCTTGGACGTAGTCTGATTGCGGATTGGAACTTGGCCTCTGTACGTCAAGGTTGCCACGTTCAGAGAAAAGTCAGGGAAAAATAGATTTTATTTAAGGTCAGGGAAAAGTCAGGGAGTTTTGTATCAGGTCAGGGAGTTTCTAAATCCCTGTTCAAAAGTCAGTGAAAAGTCAGGGAATTTTATCTCCAGGTTGCCGCAGATTGTTTATTAGATGTTTTTGTATAGAGAAGGCAATTTTGTTTTAAAAATTATCTGACCTATCCTTATTTTGTTGATTCATGGCCAGAAAGGTCAGCCTGCAGGGTCAGTGAAAATTGCTTACAGTCAGTGAAAAGTCAGGGAAAAGTCAGGGATATTTTTTGTTCCGGTGGGTGGCAACCCTGGTACGTTGATCCAAAGCATTTCATTTGTTAGGCAGTCAAGTGTTCCCTGACATTTCTTTAGGATGGTCATAATACCAGTCAAAAGCGTCCTCGTGATTCAAATGAACTACAAATGTTTTTCATAAGGGACGAAACCAGGGCAAAATCAACGACGGATTTAATCTCTGGCTGTTAGTTTGACGCTCTCGTCAACTCTCAAGTGCTAGGGCTGCCGGCACCCTTTTAATACAAGGTTCTTTATATTAACTGGCGAAACGAAACAATAGGTAAACAGCACAAACAATGCCCCTATCCCTAAGAACAAAAAAGGTGCAGATGATGATTAGTAAGAACGAATCAAGGTTTTTTAAGAGGTACAGGTCAACTGTTTGTGCTGTTATCAAATAATAATAATGATAATAATAATTTAATAAAAAGAGGAGTGTTTATTATGACAAAAACTAGAGCTAAGCTTTACAAAATGCTATAATATTTACATAAT